AGGTGTGGCATATCAAGATGCTGATTAGACAGCATGATTATTGCACAGGTGTGCCTTAGGCTGGCCACAATAAAAGGCCACTCTAAAATGTGCAGTTTTATCACACAGCACAATGCCACAGATGTCGCAAGTTTTGAGGGAGCGTGCAATTGGCATGCTGACTGTAGGAATGTCCACCAGGGCTGTTGCCCGTGAATTGAATGTTCTTTTTGCTACCATAAGCCGTCTCCAAAGGCGTTTCAGAGAATTTGGCAGTACATCCAACCGGCCTCACAACCGCAGACCACGTGTAACCACACCAGCCCAGGACCTCCACATCCAGCATCTTCACCTCCAAGATCGTCTGAGACCAGTCACCCGGACAGCTGCTGCAACAATCGGTTTGCATAACCAAAAATTTTCTGCACAAACTGTCAGAAACCATCTCAGGGAAGCTCATCTGCATGCTCGTCGTCCTCATTGGGGTCTCGACCTGACTGCAGTTCGTCGTCGTAACCGACTTGAGTGGGCAAATGCTCACATTCGATGGCGTCTGGCACTTTGGATAGTTATATATATATATATATATATATATATATATATATATATATAAATAAACATATATAAACTTCCATATATAAACTTCAAATATATATACATATATATATATAAACATATATAAACTTCCAAGGGCACCACAAAATGGCTTAAAATTATTTTAAAAATTTGAAAGAAAGAAAAAAAAGCTTAAAACAAACACAGAGACCAAATCTAACTATAAACTGTTGTCATTCTTATTTTCATTTGTTTCCCTCCGGAACTGTCATTTTTATTCAAGAAGCAGGGTTCCATATAGTCATGAACAAAACTGGAGTTTTAAAACTGTGATTTACAATCACAATAAATACTAAAAATAATAAATACCAAAATAAATATTACTGAAAAAGTAATGGAAATGTCTGTAATAAATATGAATTTGCTCATTGTAAGTGAAAACTTAAGTGGTGCCTTTGAATATTGTCTTGGACAATTCAGAGCCAAAACGACTGAGAAACACTTGTTGTTTTTATGTATGTATGTACTGTATGTATTTATTTTTTTATTCCACTCTAAAAAACAATGCTGGGTTGTTGGGTCAAATGTGGACTAACCCAACTTTTGGGTTAAAATTTTAATAGAAAATTAGTTAGTAGTTATTCCATATTTGACCCAAAGTTGGGTGGAAACAATCCAGCATTTTTTTGTGACTTTTTTCTGTATATTATATCGTTACACCTAAAGTTGCCAACCCATTTAACTTACGAGTGAATCGCTGAATATTTCACTCAAACAGAGAAACCAGAAACCATAATCATGTAGTGTAAACACTAAATTGGCCATGTTGGCATTGTCATGCTGCTCATGGCCTCATGGGATAGTTTAGTGTGTTTCAGAATTTCAGCAGAAGTAGCTTATCTTGATATTTTTCACCTACTGAGTAGGTTACTGTGAAGTTGAACTTTTCATTTTACCACTTAAATGATTATCACTTTTTGCATATACAGTAGAGAAATCGGCATATTTGGAGGCTGGGACTGATTGAAAATCTCTCAACCAATTCATTCAGAGACACTGATTCGTTCAGAAATAAAACACCTGTGTCTATATAACTTGCTCAGTATTAAGGTATTGTGTGTCTGTTGTGGCTTCAGTCAAATCGGAGTTCTGTTCTTTTTAAAACCTAACTAAATGTAATTGCAACCTGTATTTACAGTTTTTTTCATGGCTTGTACAAATGCAAGAAAAGTTCTTTATTTTGAGGTGTTTGGAACGTATTCTAAAAGGGGAAATGACATCAGATAATGGAAGTCATTAACTGAATAAATGGGATTAATTATTAGCCATAATAACCCTGCTCACTTTAAACAGCACTGAGCTGAAGTCCTGTCGCACCTGGATACATACAGCCACTGATTGTATGAGTGACGTGAAGCGAACAGGTAACAGCCACGTGGTTACTTAGCAACAGAAGACAAGATTAGGTTGCTAAGAGACAGCCGCGGTACTCGGAGACTGTTGATACAGAGTGTTTTCATTTTCAGATAGTAATGACAATGGGCAATCATGACAGAGTCACATAAACAGAAGCCGTTGAGAGGGGGGATGATCATTTCTGTGAAACGGGTATCCATCGATTTTAAGATAATAAGTGGCATCTCCACGTGCTGGTATTTACTCCCCGGTATTTACCGTTCCTGAAGCGCAGCGTGTTCAGGCAAGGAGACGAATAATGCTGCTGACAACTATGGCAAGCCGTTTGAACATTTATTCTTTACTAGTAGTTTAACACCGGTAAGATACAAGTACAACACACACACACATTAATTTCTGGCTTGATAGATGTCACTAAATGTCATCTCTTGTTAATGTTATTAATCTAGACTTTTTATCTGAACATCAAAAATTCCTTCTGAAAAGTTTTATGAATAATATTTAATGGCCTTAATTATTATAACTGTGACTGTTCCACCCTTTCCAATAAAGATTTATTCGGATTTTATTTGGATTTTACAAGATTATTTTTAAAATACAGTATCCTGAAAAAGGGACATTTCTTTTTTGCTGAGTTTATAAATTGTATTAAACTTTTTTTATGCTACATGTAATCGTGGATTTAGCTGCATTTAGATTTGTGCAGTAAAGTAAAATATTGTTTTTACTTTGAGTTAAAAGTTAAATTAAGACCCTAAGGATATAAGATGACCCCCACAGAATTGGCCCTTCAGAAGGCCTCCAGTGAAATGTCGATGCTCAAATTTAAGAATTATTGTAATTCATGAATTGATGATGTTCATTATAATTAAATTGATTAATAATTATATGAATTAGATGTATGTTGCAAACATGATCTTTACTCATCATAACCAGTTGGCTTTAACATGTACTCATTATTCATAACTTATAGGCCATTAAATGGAATTTATCAGTCATTTTATAGTCTATCGCTAATATATACTGCTTCAATTAAAGTCCTGTAGAATCCCATAGTATAATATGCATCTTTAAAATCTTATGAAAGACATAATGCTGCTGACAATTATAGCAAGCAGCAGTTAGGAGACAAAATGACCTTTAATCATCCAGACTGGCACAGATAAACCAGCAGTGGTTTACTTCAGCCATCAGCTAGGCAGTGTGTGAGGGAATATATCATTTCTGATGTCAGTGCACTCCAAAGAGAAAGGAAAACTTGAAATCGCATCATATGACCCCTTTAATTAACCATTATGTTTTCATGGATTACTCTATAGATTTTTTCTAATTTGTTCCAATTGAAGACAAATACATAATAACTGTAACTTATGCCATTAATCTTTCCGTTTGTAGTTTTATCAATTTTTTCTCATACTTAATTTACATGTAAAAGATAACCAACGTAAAAGTTTTAGTAACGCAGACATCTATTTTAAGGAATAAATGTCAACAAGGCTTGCCATAGACAAAGCAGAGCTCTTAGCTTTTTTCAAATTCAGTTAACCTGTGGCTGTAACGCTGACCCGCCTCGGCGCGGTCCACCACTCTGATTTTACGCGCAAGCGTTGATTTATCTCTCTGTAACGGCGCGTGCTGTGCGCGAGGTCTGCATTACGTGAAAGAGCAGGATATTCCTCCAGGACAGTTTGAGGGTTACTTCTGCACCTGAATGCGAGCAGAGAGTGAGAACTCGACGAGAAAGATCGCGCAGGTGTTCAGCAGCCCGAACCTCGCGAAGAATGCAACTTCTCACCTGCGCATAAGGTAAGTCACCGAAGTCGTTGCTGCTGTACGCGCGAATCTAAAAAGATTGATGGGAATGATAAACTGTCCTGCGTTTTGGATATGTATATATATATATATTTAATACGGGTGGGGCATTTGGAAAGGCATTTAGCGCTTATAAGTAAATGAACATGTTCGTGACACGTGCGTCTTTTTATAGGATGCAGAGAATACGTTACATTAGAATTGTGTCTATTATCATTGGTCTAATCACGCTATAGATTGAAACGGAGAAGGTTCATAGTAAACTATTGAATTAGCATCATTCATCCTGCCCCCTGCATTAGCTCTGTAAGAATAGCTCACACACATAAAGGTGCTGCTGCCTGTGTCCTTTGCCTATGTGTGGCGATTTCTTTTAATATATTTGCTCCATTTAAATCATCCTAACCTACTTTGAGTTCTATATATCATGGGAACATTGTGATATACCATGAAATTAAAAGACTATGATATATAAACAATAGCTACTCAGATTAATATAATGTACACATTTTGTCAAATATGTGTGCGCAGGTGGAATTAAATGATTTGCCAGAACTTTATTTTAGTTTTATTTTAATATAGTTGTTTTATTATAACCTTTCACAGTTATTGAACTGAACTGAACCCACACTGAACTGACTTGAGTTGAATAATGCTTGACACTATTGTAGACCTGTTTACAGCAGAACTAGGATTTGTCTTGTATTTGATGAATTTCGTATAACTGCTT